CCCCCCCACCCCCCAAGGGTCTGGAAAATAGATATTTTACAGGAAATGTCGCGGAATAGCATCATCCCTGACATCGATAGAGATAATTGTTTGGCATCCCGGAAAATCTTCTCAGCTATCACACTCGCCAAACATCCCTTTTAAAAGGCACACATACTATCACGGACATACAGATGCATATCATTCCCGTCATTGCCATTAGAAGATTCAAATTCTTTCTCGATGTTTTAGTACAAGATTCACTTTTAGTTCTGTTTCAGCCTTCTCAGCACGGCCTCTTACAATGATATTACAGCATGTGTCTCCTAACCTAGGTGGCTCCTGGGCGCAATCTTCATTCCAATGCTTTGTGACAATAACCAGAGGCCTGGAGCCTATGCATCACTTGACAGTCGACCCAGTTCTAAACCGGAAAGACTATTCCTTCCGTTTACCAGTAGATCGTTTTTGTAGTTCTTATCACAAAACTACCAGAATCAGGGAGGCACCAAAAAACGTCAAACAGCTTTAAGCATTATAAATACTCTAATCTGTAGATTGTATTTATTTTTCTTACTCTGTGAACGAAATCACACTTTTCTAATTTCACACAGATTAACATGAAACCAATTTTCCCATGCAACTCTTAAAATCTTACAACTCATACATCTTTTTTCCTATACCATCCGCATCTTGCTCCAAGGTTTCATGGCAATGTCTTGTACGCGAGTCAGCCACTATTTCCTATCACCAAACTACATTGCTCATCATCTAACATTATCTACAGAAACCAAATCGGATTTCCTGCTCAACGTTTCCGCTCGTTGACATTGTCTTGGTTTTCACTATATGTTTTAAAACATTTTTTAGTTATAACATTTTCCTAAGTTTTCACTGTATTTTTCTAACATGTTACATGCCTCCTAGCATGTTCACGCGTGTCCTCCATGTTGTACTGTTTTCTACATCGTTTCCTCTAGTTGTTACAAGCATTTCCTAGCTTGTACACCGTTTTCCTAATATTGTCACAACTTTTCTTCCAGTTTCCACTGCTTTTTCTACCGTTTCCTGTGGTTACTTTCTTCTCTTTTGTAGATTTTCACTGTGTTTTGTCCAGCTTTTTTTATTACATGCTTCCTACCATTTTCACCGCTTTCCTCTATGGCTTTTTGTACCATTTCCTCTCGTTTCCTGCATTTCATGCATTTTCAATATATTTTTCCAAGAGTTTTACCCGTCTCCTTCAGTTTCCGATCTTTTTGCACCATTTCCTCTGGTTGTTATCGCATTTTCCTGCACTTTCACTGTATTTTTCCAGCATGTTTACTGCATCGTCATAGTTTGTTCCTAGCAGTCGCTCCGGTTTCCTCCATGTTCCAACAGATTTTGCACCCTTTATTCTGGTTGTTATCACATTTTCCTGCCAGGTTGTTATCACATTTTCCTTCACTGTATCTTTCGAGCATTTTCCAGTGGATTTTGCACGATTTCCTCTGATTGTTATCATGTTTTCCTGCAATTTCTATATCCTCTTCGTGGGTTTTCAATCTATTCATGCATTTTTAATCTATTTTTCCAAGATTTTTACCCGTCTCCTTTTTGCACCATTTCCTCTGGTTTGCTGCATTTTCAATGTATTTTTCCAAGAGTTTTACCCGTCTCCTTGATTTTTCCGATCGTTTTTGCACCATTTCCTCTGGTTGTTATTGCATTTTCCTGCACTTTCACTGTCTTTTTCCAACATGTTTACTGCATCGTCATAGTTTGTTCCTAGCAGTCGCTCCGGTTTCCTCCATGTTCCAACAGATTTTGCATGGTTTATTCCTAGCATTTCCTCTGATCGTTATCATGTTTTCCTCCAGTTTCATTGTATAATCCAATACATCCTCTTCGTGGGTTTTCAATATGTTTTGTCCAGCATTTTTTTACTACATGTTTCCTATCATTTTCACCTCTTTCCTCCATAGGTTTTCGCACCATTTCCTCTAGTTTCCTGCATTTTCATACCTTTTCCATATTAATATTAATCCAAGAGTTTTACCTGATTCCTTCATTTTCCGATCCTTTTTGCACCATTTCCTCTCGTTGTTATCACATTTTCCTGCACTTTCACTGTATTTTTCCAGCATGTTTACTGCATCGTCATGGTTTGCGCCTAGCATTCGCTCCGGTTTCCTCCATTTTCCAAGGGATTTTCCATGGTTTGTTCCTAGCATTCGCTCCGTTTTCGTCCGTTTTCCAGGGGATTTTGTACGATTTTCTCTGATCGTTATCATGTTTTCCTGCAGTTTCATTGTATTTTCCAATACATCCTCATGGTCTTTCCGGCCACCAAAAAGGCGGACCTAGGGGGAATCGATACCCCACCGTCAGCAAATTACCTAGTAGTACATAATCCAGCAAAATGCTCCGTTTTCTGGCGCTCAACACAGGGGCACGGCGAGATTTCGTTCCCTTTCGGCAACCACCCCCGCCCACACCCCCTATTCTCACTTCGTTCGCAAACAGCAACTAGCCAGCTAGCTGGCTTTCGTAAAATCGCCAAATTTCCGTGAAAATTCGGGGTTTCGTCCGAAATTTCCGGAAAATTTGGGACTTTTGGCATAATTACATGATGTATTGGATAAATTCCGGCTACAAGTGTCGGGTTTCCGACAGGGGCGCCCACTTTTTCGACAGGCGTCCCGTTTTATATAATAATAAAATAAAGGTAAAAAAAGAAGAAATTATCACAAACAAAAATCAAAATCAGAAAAATAATATAATTACACGAAAAGGTGGAAAAATCGCCAAGTCTTTTATTTTTCCAATAATTTTGTGGTATCGGAGCGTTGAAAAGTATGTTTTTTAAAGCGGCGGGCCCGGGGCCATCGGGGGAGATAAGAAATATTTCGAACGAAAATAAACGAAGTAAATTTCGAAGTCAAAAGGGTAAAAACACCTCATATTTCGAACGATTTTAATCGTTTAGATATTAAAAAAGCGCACGACCTTATAGCACGAAGTACATTTCAAATTAAACATGCTAAATGTAACATGTTCTCACCGCTTTTTTAGATATTCAAATGTGATTTTTCCTGGCAGGCGCAAGGGATTCTGCACTGAGTAAAAAATAAGTCAAATGCGTGGGTTTAACAGCAATTACAAAAACAATAGCAGGCATAGGACGATTAGAAAGGATTTAAAAAGATGTATTTTGTGTGGGAAATGCAATACAAAAGACATATCCAGCAAAGATATTAAGAGGTTACTGGTAAGGCGTTAATTTTCTGAAAAAGCTTGCATTTTGGAGCAGCAAACTTCAGGTTTGCCAAAACATTTTTTTTGCCAGCACTTCGTATGACCTGACATCACTTTTTCGTGGCAGGGGCAGTATTTGAGAGAGATGGAGGGGAAAAAAAGCAAGACGTATTGGTATCAGCACGCCGTTGTGGCGTCAAGCACAAATAGATAGACAAATAGACAGATAACCGATAAATAGACAGAGGCCGACACATAGACAGATAGATAGATATACCGATAGATAGACAGATAGCCAGAGAGATAGATAGACGAATACACAAATAAATAGATAGACAGATAGACAGATACACAGGTAGACAGACAAATAGATAGCCCGATACTCCAACGACCTTTCAATCCACCAGTGGGTTCGCTCTGCCATCCATAATTCACCACAATTCACCTCTCCTAAGTTTCCTATTTTTCAAACTTCCGCCACCGCCTTGTGCGGTGCTACTGGTATAGGTTTAACAATGAAATGTAGTGGATTTTGGGGAAATATTTGATTTCGTTAATCATTATATAATCGATTTCATCTAAATTGTGCCTTTAATACTTGTATATTAAAAAACGGTGTTATATATATACATACATATCCGTATTATTCCGTATTGAGGTAAGTGTATCGAAAGCTAGCTCTTGCTAACTTTCTTCATAATATATACATATATATATATACTCCTTTTCTTTTTAATCATTGGCAGCTAGGTGCCAGGAGGGCTGATCATTCGGTCCTGCAGGCCCATGCATCTTAGTCATCCTCTTGTCGGCTTCTTGGCCTGGGAGGTGCCAACCTAAGCAAGTAAGCTGATGTATGCTGGCCGGCAAGAAAAATTCTGGCCGAAGCCACCAAATGAATCCAAATGGCCCAAAGTAGAAAACAAAACCCTATAAAGCGGCCCAGGAGCTTCAGACAATCCACAGTTGCTTGTTGCACCTTGTGCTCAAGGCATTTGAAAGTGGTTACAGTATGTACTGGGAACAATCTGAAGAAGCGCGAAGGGGGAGTCTACCGCCTACCACGACTTATTGGTAGGTGATGCTTCAACACTCTAAGCACCCTGGCTGCTGGACATCCTTTGGTAAATGCTTTTGCGTTGCGTGCTCGCATGACCAAGTCGAAAGCACCCATGTCTTGCAAACGCCTGGCCAAATATGAAAAACCATGCTGGGGACCTCAAGCCCCAACATTTTCTCTACAATAAAAGTATCTTGGGCTTTTCACATATCCAAAAAAGTCTCAGCAACCATGTCTGCACAAAAAGCTATGCATGGCCTCTAAAATGACCTCTACAAAAGTAAGGGTTCTGAAGTACCTAGGGTAAAAACAAGCTCCCAGAGGTTTTTGTAGAGGACTCAAGGCTGGTAGTTTTGTAGGGGAAATTGGCACGGGGATTGATGCGCCCCAAAAAATCCTGATCTGTTGCAATGCTCTGCACCCTAAACCCATTGGTTCAGATTCACTTCCAAAACATGTCAGGGATGCTGTGCGTCCAACTCAGCAAACCGGCGCAAGGCCTCGAAAGTATCTTGCGGTTTTTGCAGCTAATTTATCCGCAATTTTGTGGAATTCCTATCCTCAATGATTAAAAGAGATTGCCGCCCTTAGCAAAAAAAGCCCTGTGCATCATGTACCATCCAGTGTCAAACTCTGAGGCCCCCGAAATCACAGGCCTGTGAGCCCCAAAGGGCCACCTGGTATGTCAGAACAACCGCAAGGAAGGAAACAAGGTTGGCAAGTGATTTCATGCTAGGTGGGTGCGTCCAAACATACAGGAAACTTCTTGGAAGGGCCTCAGGGGGACGCTTTCTGGTGACCAATGTTTCAACATTCCCAAGAAGCAGCATTTTTTGCGGTGACGGTCGCTGGTCTGTCACCATCTATGGAACCCGTCACCCTAACTTTTCTTCTCATCCTTCTCATCGCTTCCTGATGTGATTCAGGGATGACTCGCAAGATCCCTGGGGTTGGTGGCTCCAAATGTGGGGCACAGCATGGAAGGAGTCAGGGAATCTTCAGCTGTTCTCCCTGACTGCGTTGTTTCTGCACTGCAGTAACGTTGGACGAAGAGGGCCACACAAATATTGATCTCACATCATCACAACAGCCATGTGTGGAACACAATGAGGTGAGCACGCGCTGTTCAGCAATCTGCAGCCATGTTTCCAAGCAACACCTTGGCAATTGTTGGCATCAGAACCAGCATAGCGAGCGCTGGAGCAGCTCCTGTTTGAAACTGCACGAAGGCAACAACATGAACAAAACATCACGAAGTCACCCATCGCCCCTGAGGTGCCAAATCATGCCAAATCACCTGAGAAAACGCACAACATGAAGCAAACTCATCCAACCCCGTTTCAAATTCCATTTGTTCCACATCAAGTTGCAACAACAACAACAACAACAACAAAAAAAGCATGTCTCCTCCCCACAGGAGCATCGGGTCAGACTTGGCAACATCTTCAGCATCACGCAATCCCAAATAAATATCACCGAGCCTCAGTGCAAAAATTGACGGGCTTTGGAAAGGACAAGTATAACCTGACAAAAGATTCTCATGCTATCTGTTTCATTCTGTTCCCTTCCATCATTGTCGTAGCTTTTCCATCTACAGCCCTTTTGGCATTGAAGCTGGCACAATTTCGGCGAGAAACATCTGAAATAAACGCTTCATCCCTGCGGATCAATTTCTGTCCTCAAAATACAGACCCTGTAATTATGTACGGTTTCCTGCAAACTGATGCACTACTCTTACAACCAATGGCCAGGTAGCTTGTAAAGAAGAATATGAACGAAGATGAACAACATACCTTCATCGTGACTGACAGGTTCTGGTCAAAGCCCAATGTGCTGCCCAGTTGCTGAGATCCCAAGTATGCTTGTGCCGGTACACCAAAGCACGACCCAATCAAACAACCTGCAGAGCTTCTCCAATGGAACAGCATTGCTCGGCGGAAATGCCGCAAAGATGCAACATACTTGTATATATAATTCAAACCAGAAACGATTTCCATGTATTTCCTGTATCGGCATTACTATGCATTACTAACATCTGAATTTGGAAGACTTGGCATACAGATGCATACAGTATCTTAATCTTGAGCATTGAATTGACACGTCCTTCGTGCTCCTGTGCGAACAAGTTGCACACAATGTAGTCTCTGAACCTGCCAAGGTCGTTTTTGCACGACGAGCCCCAGATCATCTTACCCCAAAGGCAACAACGCAACCAATCCTAACCAAAGCATGACTGACAAGTGTAAGTACAAGATTGAAGATTGATAGACGCAGCAGCCGAAGCACCAAACGTGCAACCGCAATGAGCCAATCCCTTTGTGAAAACAAAACCCGAAGCCGCGACTAATAGTACACACGCAGACAATATAAAATCCGCTCAGCTGGTGGCATCTGGATCATGTTTCAAAGCTTCCTCTCAACTTGCATCTATATAAAGAGTTCTACAGTTTAGGCATGCCAAAAACCGAGCCTGATGTTCAGGAGCGCTAGGCCGTAATTCTTCCTCAATCTTCGTGCGTGGACAGGGAAGCCACAGGTAGCACATCGCCATACAGTTTTTACCCACACATACTCAGCATGATCCATATGTAGGGCAATGGAAGAAACTTATGATATTAGTGATGTGGTATTTATTGCCCTCTCTTTGCCACGTTGTAATTTATGTAGTTATTTGCTGTTGGTTGAACGCCTGTTTATTGATGCACTTATTGTTGGGTTTGCCACGGTTGACCGCGTTTCCAGGTCCAAGAGACACGAAGGCTGGCAAAAATGCTAGTCGAAAGAGTGTCCTCAGAGCTCAGCAAGAGAAAACGTCCGACTGGGATGAAAGAGTCTGTCAGCCAAAACTTGGATTCAAGGTTCAAGGGTTCAAGCATCTGAAGTGGTTGCGCTATGCACTTTTCTATTGGAACTGTGTGTGAGAAAAACTCAAGTTCTACTTTCTTTCCCTTTCAGTTACTTGGTGAACACTGTCAATGCGAAGACTGCAGAAATGACGTTCATGCAAATTCTTTTTGCAAATGTCCTAAGTGGCATCATATACTGTACAATATGCTTTTTCGACAGCGCTCACATGTGTCTTCAAACTACAAAATTAGTTTCAAAAGACAAACACACAAACATACGTGTGAACACACACACACACACATGTATATATATATACATACACATATATACACAGTAAATACATATATAGAGACATACACATATAATATACACGAATGTATACATATATGTATATGTATAGATATATGAATAAATAATTAATAATCTAATATATATATATATGAATATATATATATACACATTATATATATATATATATATGTGCACAGAAATGCAAATAAGAAATAACAATATCAACAAGCAACAAAAACACATGATATCCATATAGTATCATATTGTATCTTGCGAATTGGAGTAGCCTCTCAATAATGAAGCAATGAAACAAGCTGTTTGACACCAACTACATATATATTCCAAAAGGCTTCACTTCCATCCACCATAAGTGCACTGATTAGATCTGATTAGCACTGATGGATCAGTGCCGGTACCTGCGATTTTTTTGCGAGTTTCCCATAGTAAATGGGACTGCTCGCCAAAATGCGATCGACGCGGGCCACTGTTGGATGCGCCAAAACGCTGCTTTTTCCTCAAGCAGGGACGGGCAACAACGAACTTGACAAAAAAATGTTCCAGTAATCTCAACAACACGTGGAATTAGACATGCGTCTCCAATGGAAAGGTGCAAGTTGTTCAGCTTGACCAGGTGATCGAACTCAACACCCGGTGAATAGTTTAAACTCTGAACGGCAAACAGCATAGAAAAGTTGTGCCATATGATGTTATATGGCTTGTAAAGCCTGGTATATCCTGGTCTCTTGCAAAGGATTCAAATGATGGTGTCACTGAAGGAGTTCACGAATTCTCCTCTACATTCCGGATGGGCCATGCAAGGTGTTCTGAAACAGCATACGAGACCATACAAGGATAGAAAAGGTAAGCGTCTTGTGGCTGGAAGAACGCTCCGAGCCACAACGAAACACAATATGCTACCCAACCTCAGGTAGCTGCAGAATGAAAGGTGCCGCACGGTGCCACATTGAATCCAAAGCAGCATTAGCATGCATTAATCAACATTAATCACTAGCAAACCCCAACCTCCTGAAGTACGCTTCTCTTTTCCACGTTGCGCCCCCCGCTGCAGCTCATTGCAGCTGAGCGACGTCTTGGAAAATAGAAGCATGCCTTGGGAGTCTTATATGGTGCTCTCTTGGAACTGCAAGGGATCAGGTTTTTGTCAGCAAACATCAACAAAGAACACTGGCATAAACTGGCGACACCATTTTGCAGCCGGGCATCCCATAGATGCCGTGAAACCATAGACCCAAGCTGCACCCAAATCAACCAGGGAAAATGGCACTCCAGATACCGTAATCGCCTGTGGCCAGTAACATTTCAAGCACTGCTAAACTAGATTCGCTGTGCCATCCTGACTTTTTCGCTTCCTGTGCCAATGTTCAACAAATGCCAGCCCAGAAGGAACAAAAGGTCAAATGGATCCAAATCGATGCAAATATGTCCAAATGATATCATTCACTCTGAAAAAGGCTTCTTGGCAGCACACTGTGGAGAATCCCGCGTGCAAGACCTTAGCGCAACAGTCAGCAGCAAGAAAAAGCACGAATAGCAAAGCATAGCAAAGCGTTCCCCAAAATGCAGCCATCGCATTCCCAATGGACCCTGTTGGATGGGAAGGCATCATGGAGTTCTACCTCGTACCCCTGCTGGGACTCCATGATGCCTCTAACTGAACCAATGAATAGGTCCTCGCATTGCGACAGGCCCGAGATGGCCCGAGTGTTCGGGCAGCCACCCTATAGCACCAAGCCGCAAGAAGTGCAGCCCAAAGGTTGGACATACTGTTGGGAATGTTCAGCCAAGAGCAGAATGAATGGCAACAAGCCTCCCTCTGCTTCTATTGTCTTTAGCATCTATGGTATATGCATCTATAGTCATTATTGCCCTGACATTCCAAACCAAAGTAAAATGGTCTTTCAAAGGGCATCCCCAGCTTTGCCTGCCACGCTTCTGCGCAGCATCATGTCAGAGCAGCCAAAAGACTTTTAACCAAATCTTAGGTATGAATGCGCGCTTGAACGCTGTGGAATGCAAACAACATTGACTGCTGCCGGGGTGCTATGCCCAGGATTGGATTCTGCCGCATGAAGAACCTCAAAGAATGAGAAAAAATTGGCTTCTTGCCATCCAATCAAATAGCAAGTGTAGTTTTGCCTTGGAAGTCAGCCAGGAAACGCAAATTCGGCCGCCTTTGACTTCAGAGTTGGATTTGAAGTGATGGCCATTCCTGTCAATCCGAAAATACCAGGCAGCCAGGTCATGCAAAATTCGTGAAGCACGCACCGCACCTACTATGATTACCATGGCGAACGCTGCCAGACCCAGCACTTTGTCCTGATTCGTGGTCAGCGTGCGGCAACTGACTCCGGGGATTTCTTGATGCAAAGCCGGCTTCAAAGAAATACATTGCTTGCTATCTAACTAGCGTTGGGACTCCAATCTTGTTGATCTTGCGACTGACTGCTTCCATATTTGCCTTGAATGAACTAGGGCCCAAGTTCTTTATGTTCTTTTTGATTCTTGCGTAGATCCACAAAGCATTGGTGTATGGGGTACACGAGCGCCTTCAGCTTGCTCATGGCGGTGGCTCACCTCAAGGCACTTCCTTCCTATGAAACAGGCTGTAGGATGGCCAGAGCAGCTGCCATCATTCTTCCATGATTCACGGTGGCCAAATACCACCACAGTTGAACGTCTGAATCCTGTGAGGCTAGACTGCTAAACACTCCTCCTTTTTTGACTCCAACCAGTTCTAGATTTGGCGTGCGAATCCTTCATGTAGACCGCTGCAGTTTGGTGTAAAACTATGTAAAACTCATGTCTGTGCTTCGCGGCTTACTCCCTCGCGTGCCCTAAATGATGAATATCTCAAAAGAGTAGCCATGATGAACATGAGTTGCTCAGAGAGGAAAAGACTACGAGAATCAAGGCACAAAATGGCAAATGAAAAAACAATTGGCCTGTCAGGAGTTTGCTTGCAACAACAACCTCATCAAAAGCTGCACAGCTTCAAAACAGGAGACACTGACCCAACTGGCTCGCGGAAAGGTCTCCATTGAGTCCATGATGACCTGCCAAATTGTGGTGCTTGCAGTGCTTGATATTGTATTGTTGAGCCGTCCTTCGTTACCCACAGCAAAAGGGACGCTGCAATGCAAAATGCGCAGAGCCAGCAACTCAACACAGCTCAGGATTCTTGCTTACTAATCTTATCAGGAATCCATGGATTTCTGGGCTTCTTCCATTTCATGTCCAGCCATCACACAAAGTATTGATGCCGCAGTTCGAGGTTTGAGATTCAAACTTGAAGGCCGTCTCTCTTGAAGAGCTTGTCCCGTGCACCATCGCACCTGAGAACAATAAGCCGACTAGTATGGAAATCTTGTCTGATTCAACCAAAAAATTACCAAGAGTAGTAATATTCGTGAATCCTTCCAAGCCTGCTGCCTTTTCGAACCTGCTGGCTTTCTTGGTTACTTGCTTCACGGTAGGCACATCCGAACGCTGTTCTGAGGAAGCTCTCTCCGAAAATCGGACCTAGCCACCTTTGAAGCCTTGCACTGCCCATAGAAGTCTCAAGAATGAATTTGCAAGTCTTGCAGAGCAGGGCCGACTTGTAATTTGCCACATGCCGATGAACAGTGATGAACAGAGAAATTTATCATGCTCGTTCCTATCGGGCATATTTTTTGTTGGAAAAACTCTGAGCAGGTCGGCTCTGTCACCATCCGGCAAAGGAAGCCGAAACCTTCCTAGCAGCTGGCTCGAACAAAACAAAGTGGGACAACTGCAATGCTAATTATGTTTCACCTTGTCTGACCATCTCAGAGCATCTCACATTCTACAACCTGCTTACATCATCTTATGTCTACTTATATAGTACGTACGGCTGCCAATTTCTGCCTCATGGATCAGCATGGAAATATATCATATGTAGCCAACCTCATGACAAATCCTTGGCTAGCACCCATAAGCCGCAACTCCTCAAACCCTTCCAATCGCCTGAAGGACCCACTCTGCCTCGGGCAGGATTCTTTTGTGATGTCTTTTTTTGGTAAATTGTGTGAACGCACTATGAAGTCAAGGCTGGATTGTAAAATTCCCGGTCACATTCACCTACTGTAGTGGCTCAGATGGTTCTGGGTAAAGTTCTTGGGTGCACAAACATGAGGTCGGGTTGTATACTACGAACGAAGGGTTCATGTTCCCAACTTTGACCCATGCCCAAAATCCCCGAAGTGTTTTGTCTCCCTGGGGGCACCACCTGCGCGTTCATGCGCATGGAATCCAGGACCACCTTCACAAGCTTCTCCCAAACTTGGATTGTTGCAAACGACACCAAACAAGCCTATAAGAATCTATGAGAATCTATAAGAATCTAGAAGATAGGTGATGGATGGTGATGGTACAGTTCAATTTTTGGAGGCCTACTGAGAAGTGAAGTAGTGCTTTAATCCGTGGCCAGCTCAAGGTGGAAAAAGTACCTGCTACTGCCAGGGTCTCACCTGCATTGCGTTTGTGTTGAACAAGGTGTCTGCCCCGTCTGGCATCTCTGCCTAAGTGAATCAAGCAAGGGAAACAAGTAAAACAATCACATTGTCATTCTGATCCGCATGCAAGAAATGCGGCCAGTCAATACCGTATAAATTAGAACATGCTTGACTGCATGATAGAAAATCCCTGATCAAAATGGCAAGAGAATCCGGTGGAACAGCAGCGTGAGAATATCCATTCATCGAAGCTGCGATATTCCGAAGAGCTTCGCAACTTTCAGCTTGAAGCCTCACAGCACCACACAAGCTCCATCGAACAAATGCCATAGAGATCGCAGGCACAGGCTACTGTATTTACTGTGGGACCTCCTTAGTCTTACCCCCACTAACACGTTCAGAACGACAAAAGACTTACAGTAAAATGAACAAAATCTGCACGAGACTGCAAATGACTGCAAGATGCTGCAAGCATGCAAGCGTGTGCCCAAGCACCCCAAGCTTCCGCCCAAAACATTCCCCCGACGGTCTGGATCCTTGAATCAGCTTAGATGATCAGGCTGACTATTTACAACTTTGCACGTGAGAGTTGATAGCCTGAAGAAAACTCCAGAAAATCTGTCATCTTGAAATGTTCTTGGATACTGTGAAGTTGAAGCCGGCAGTTTGACAAACACGTACTGCGGGTTCGGTCACTGCCAAAGAGTCAGCACCCAAAAGGGCGAAAATGCATCGAGAGAAAAACCGCATGTCCATTTATTGGCGCAAGAAAATACTGTTGAATTTACTCCTGAAAGAGTGGTCAAGCTAAAAACCTAAATGAGCCAAGGCAGCCTCCAAACAGTTCGGTAGTGGGTATGGAGGAGATTTCAAGCATCCTCAGCAACTGTCAGCTCCAACAGTGGCCCCAAGCTTCCGACCGTTCATTCTTGGGAAATCGCACCATGGCTTTCAAGATTCCCTGCGCAGCAAGGTGAGACTGAGGCAACAAGCACAAAACCCGGAAGTTGTCAGAGGATGCCCTGGGGGACTGGTGGGGAAACCCTGTAAATAAAATGAAATGCTGGAAAAAACCTTCAACAGAGAAGCTTACAAATGAACTGGGTACAAAACCGTCGTGCTGACGTGTATATAAGATTATATAAGATTATATATATAAGCCTCCGCGAACGCACGAAGCAAATAATCACCAGGAAGCATCAAATGGATGAACAAGATTCAATGATTAAAATTACTGTCAACGCACCTTTCCAAACAAATAAGGCCACAAGTTCTGAGCCAAGCATGAGCCATTCATCAATGAGAAATGCCGTTTGCACAGTGTCTGAATGCTCGCATGTTTTCCATACTGCTACTCTCAGCAATACCTGCTGCTCCACTGGGTCTCCCACATCCAAACCTCCAGCTTTCATGACCTCAGAAAAGTAAATGCTGCTGTTGGTAACTTTCCCAAAGTTCACCAAGTGCACAGCCTCCAAAATCCTCCAAGCCTCCAGCTATATTGGGATAGCGCGTCGCGCAAAAAGCCATAGCAAAGCAGAAGGAGTACTGCACCTGGCCAACCAGTGTCCATTGAATTTTATATCCTTTTCCAATTGATTTAAGTGGATCATATTGGGTGGCCACCTGTCACCATGTGTTCGCTTGAGTGTTGGGGCCTGTTTGCGATGCCGACAAGTTTCTTCCATCTTCTTTAAACAGAAAGATGGGTGTCATAATTCAGTATCACAAATGGAATCATGAAGGCACATGCGCCTCTCGTGTCCACACGCGAAACACCCATCAAAATCTCAAGAAAAGTCGTCATAAGGTGATCTGCAGAGTTAAAACCCCACCTTCACAAATAGCGTTCCTTGCTGTAGAGATACAAAGGGTTGCACTTCAGAGCTGCTTTCCTGATTTTTCCTGGTTATATAATTGTGTGCAGTATTTTGTAGCTAGAATGTCTTCTTTGTATTTGTATTTGCAACATTTTGGAGCTACGGATCTATTGTTTGCACCTTGTGTGGGCAGTGGGAGCCTGAATCTCTCATTGCTGTATCATTTTTGTGGAATTTTGGAGCTGGAACTCGTCACGTGATTGCTCCTTGCAGCATCTTGTAGCACTTGAACTTTGATTATCATCGGTAATCAAAACGGTAATCAAAACGGTGCTCAATAGATCTCAATAGTACACTCTTTTTCTTGCAGCACATTGGAGATTGAATCTCTGTATTGGTGCGGGATTGGGGGGACCTTCGGGAAAGGGAAGTTACATTTTGATTTCCAGAGCACCTCTTCATCTCCGGCATGCTGCTCTGCCGCTTTCACAGCGTTGGTGTAGGCCCTCGGCTGCGGGATGCATGATGGTCATTGGTGATGGCTCCACATCGGAATAGAAACGGGCTCACTTTGATCCAACGAGGCATTTGGAAAATATGAATAAATATGGCATTTTAATGCACTTTAGATGCCGTGGCCAGGCATTCACACTGCAACGGGAAGCGTGCCAGTGAATGCAGCGGCAAAGCTGGGAAGCTGACACCACCTCCCTGGCGTAAATTGGATCTTCCAGGATCTGGCTGGCTTCAATGGACATGACAACTCGCCAGAGGTCCCATCAGTTCTATATAGCTTCAATACCTTCAATACCATTCAATACCAACCCCCCGCAAATTCGAAAACATGAAACCTTCAAAACCTTCCAGACCTTCCAGAGCCAAGAGCATTCTTCCAGATATAGTACCTTTGAGATATTTTTTTTTATATAGCAGCTGAGAGTGTGATCCCATCCCCGACTCGACGGCCTTCATGATGTCCATTGCCTCCACCTGGAGAGTTGTAACTGCACATGTCCAGTCCCAATGCTCCTTGTGCTTTTGCCACTGCTTACTGGAGGGTGCATTTTTTTGTTCACCATGGTGCTTGAGTAAAGCAGGCACTTGGTGGCACCTGCCCTCTCCCTCTCTCTTCATCTCTCACATCAGAACCAGCAACAAACAGCTATGTCATGTCCGAACTTGGAGTCATCTACACTGAATCTATGCGTTCAACACGTTTAAGATTCTGGTTGTATCTGGGAGTATCACGAATGTGGTCACTGCGTAACTGATCATTAGGAGTAGAGGGATACTTGGCACATCTGTGCGCTTTCATCACCATTGACAATGAACGCTGCACGAACACAAACGACGCACAAGATTCCAAGGAAACGCGCATTCACACATCATATTTGCAAGACACGACCCCCAACGCGGCCCGTCTCTCCCGATTCCTTGCTGAACTGCAGGCCGGAGGTCTTAGTAGTAAAGACGCAATAAGACCACGCAAAATGTACAAGCATTCATTGCATTCATTGCATTCATAACTCAATTCATGACAAGCGGGAGTGCAACAGCGTTACAGAACACAAGGCTTCCGGGCTGGAGATGCTGGCTCATCAGCATCAGCCATGTCGCATACAACCCCCCTTTAGGGGGAGCAGCGCTTAAGGATCATATTGCTGGTTTTCATTGATTTTCCATTGAGGTCCCTGCCGGCAGCACAAAGTAAGAACCTTGCTTATTTGCTAAGAGGCAAAACCTAAAATCTTTGATTCGACTTGAGAAGGACTATATACATCTATATACAGGATACTTTTTTTCCGTCCATGAGCCTGCATGAAGTTCAATACAAAATCCACTGTTGTTGTTGTTGCCGTTGGCCAATCCAATTGGGATTCAATTGGGCCAAGTGGTGACAGAAAAGCTTGGATGGATACGAGATGCAGGTTCCAGTGCATCAGCTGGAAAGTCGAGCTTGTCAAAAATCAAGTTCTATGGCACCAGCTGCAAACAATTCATGTGGAATTCCCATGTCCAGGTTCCTGTTTACAAACGAAAAACACATATCTACGATCTCGAGAAATTCTTTACGCTTTTGCCGCTTTGCCCTTCCTTTTTGCAACTTTAATAATCCATGGATTTTTAGGGGACTACAAAGCTCCTTGGGAGCGTGCAGTCCGCATGAGATTCGAGGAAGCAGGTTGTGGTGTTCCAAGCTTTTGAGGACACACGCACACACACACATAGATCCCACATTTGGGTCGTACAAGTAGGTGCACTATGCTGTCACATCTTGAGGCATGTCTTTTTTGTGAAGACCGCAGAACAGTAAAGCATAGGGAAATATAGGGAATGCAAACGTGGTGGGCCAGGTTGGCTTGAAAGCAACGAACCAAATCAATGACACTGCGCTTTCTAGCTGCTGATTGCCACCGACAGTGGTGGCCGCATAGAACTTCGGCATCCTAAAGGTTTGGCACAGGTCATAAAAGTTATACACACACATATATGCATATAATTGTATATATGTATATATTATAAAGAAATCAAATAACTTCAAAGCAAAGCCCTTTCCCCCCGGTCCTGAGTGCCAATATGTTCTGAACTGGCACATAATCAAGCTTGGAAACACACAAGGTCTGTACAACTTGGAGAATAATTGTGGCATCATTGCCACAAGATATCCGCGGCATGGCGCTAGCTCCAGGACCCAAGTGAAGCAAAGTTCAGGAGCAGACATAAATGGAATGAACAGATATGAACAGTAATTAAAAAAACGCTACAAACATCTATGAAATAGTGTGAATTTCTTTATATAGGTATCAAGAAAAAATGAAGCCCTTGGACTCCCTTCGCTTCCTTGGACCTGTTGGAAAATGCCATCCAGCGACAGAATCAACTTGGGTGCGTTTTGGTTTATCGGGAACTCCATTGAGTTTGGACATGTGTGAGCAAATCAGAGTGAAGGCCATCGTGCGACCCAAACATGAAGTAGGAACTGAAGAAAATGTGAGTTCTAGGCTGAATGTGGGATGGAAAGGCAGCAGAAATTGAGTCATTGACTTAGTTTGGGCGCATTGCCATTGAATATTGTTACATGCACTTCCCACGTTTGTCATGCTCATGCACATGTTCTTCAGAAGAACTTCGTGGAGCTGACGTGCTGCCGTCATTGCCTGGAGCGCAAGCAAAAAGGCGGCGGCTGGCGCTGACTCTGACAAGGAATGGTGGGTGTCAAGTGCGTAAGCCACACATTTGTAGATGGGACGCGTTTGTTTACTATACTAGGCATGGCATGGTACAGCATGACATCATCATCTCCGCTTCCAAGCCCGAAGAAAAAGAACGCCCTCGTTTCCAAGCTAGCACTAAGCCGTTAAACCACGCCTTACAATGCGATCAACATTTTGCAAGATTTGGCAAGAAGCAGCTCAGCAATGCTACACCAAAACAGACTTGCAGGGCACCAGCTGCAGCTGCACAGCAGACCGTACCTTCAAGGATTGCATGTACATCACCCAGCGACCTCGTTGCCAGGGCAACTGGGATCATCTTGGACCTATTTTGGTTCAGCTGCTGGATTCCCATGGCAAGTGATAGAATATGATAGAATTCTGGCTTCCTGACTTCATCCGTCTTTGACAGTTTCAATTTCGGATATGGTAGATGGGTTATTCAGCCAACTCAGGTCCAATTTCAATCAAGAACGCATGCGGCACGCTCTATCAAACGGGCATTTTTAGGAAAATCCAACATGTTGGCTTTTCGAGATCATTTCCAAAATTCCCCCCCTAAAGCTGTTTCGCATCTGCACGCTGTTGATATTTGTTGTAGGCTTATGCCTCCCACCTAGCTAAGCACACTTGGGCTTCGGCCCTACGAAGCACAGGCTTGCCTGGGGTGCAAAGGGATCCAGTCAATTTCTTGTGTATCAGGGCATGTGGCGAGCAACCAGGTGCCATGAGAATTTCTTATCATTTCTTGATCCAACAGAGTTTGTTGGGTAGAGTCATTTTCTTGCACAAGTGCCGGTCTGTGCATTGACCTTCCTTGACCACTACGCCCAATTGCGAGGGCAACCAAAATAAATGTACACGGTGATTTCACCCGGCTCTGGCTGACACTTCTTTCGCATCCATGCCATGAACTGCTAGAATGACCTCCATTAGACTGCCAAATTTGGCTGTCTCTCGTTACCTTACAGGTATTGAACTGTGTATGTGCGCACTGTTTGTCCCTGAGGAAGTACTTTTAAGGGAAGCCGTCCAAACATTGCCTACGGATGTGCAAACTTCTTTGGAAGCACTACAGGTGAGGAGCCTTGTGCTCCTCACAAGAGTCAAGACCCTCATGACAATGACGTACTCTGATTGCTCCCGCACGACAATGTCTCCAATGAATCAGGCTTTTGCATCTTTTGCACACTGGTCATGGCACAGCCGGTTTCTTGCTCGGTGCCAGCACCAGCATCCATGCAGGCTGGGTAATCCCAATTGAGCCTCAGATCTGGGATTGTACCCTGCAAATATCCTCCAATCATGGCAGCAAATTTCACAATATAGCTGTTCTACAGCCCCATACGGCTGCATTACTCAGCCAAGTTTCTCATCATCAAAGGCATCCATGCAGAAGTGCTGAAAGTGTTGAGGCTGGGCAAATCTTATGGTCCTTTCTTGTTGAACCTTTCGAAGCACCAGGATCAAGAATCCTCAGAGCCAGCTGAAGTCGTCCCGTGGAGGGTTTGGCTAGAAAAATGCATATGGTTAAATAACTTAACTGGGGAGTACACCCGTGGGTCTTTTGGGTTACCATTGGATTTCGGGTGACTGGCCACGCCACCATGTTCGAGCTGCATGTGCTCTTCCACAAACTCAAAGAAACCCTCCGACAGGCTGAGGTGAAACCGATGCTTCCACCAGACTTCCTGGAAGAGTGCAGTCGACTATCACATGCTTCAAAGTAGCGAGGAAAACGTTTGATGCGATGTTGCATCAGGCTTGCTCTTTATATTGATGCCGCTCTTCCATGCAAAAAAGCAGTGAATGTACAAATGCGTGCATACATATCACCATCTTTACACCACGCAGCCCCAAGAATGTCCAGGATACGCGGGAGAACTATTTGCCACCTATTTGCCAAAAAGTAATCATAGTAAAATAAAAAATTGAAGGGCTGTGCAACTGGGCACGCTTGCAGCCATCCACAGTAAAATCCCAACTATACCACTTGCACACATGCGTCAACAACTTGAAGGAAAGCACACGACCCTTTCGCTGTACTGGGTAACTCAATTTGATGAGTCTCATGTTGGTTTGAAATGATTTGGGGCTTCAGCAAGCCAGACCTATTTGTTTTTAGTTGAGGGTCACTGATTGGGTCCCCAACTATCAAATTTGGGAGTGCATACCCTGTCATCCCATGTCATGGCGATAGGTCAATTGACCAGCCTGCAAACCTGGTAGCGGACGACGGTGCAGAATCACATCGCAGCCATTCGGAATTAACTTGACCTAGGGAGTGGGTTGTGCCTACTGACCTTAAGCATGTAGCATGTAACTGATAAAAATTGATACTGCATTTGACATGATGCTAGGATGCCACTGAGTTCATTTCCGGCACAGTCAGCTTTAAAGGATCCAATGAATCCAATGGGGATTCTTTCAGAAATCCTCTGTCTGTCTCTCTCTCTCTCTCTCCCCCCTAACTCTTCCCTTCTCTCCCTCTTGTAGTTTTTGGTACCTCAATATCTTCATGTCGAACGCCAGGACATTCGACTCGAATGACTTGATCGATTGAACCAATGCCCTGAGAAGTCGTCGACGGGTCTGGAAATCTCTGCGTCTGTCGTGGCTATTCAAAACGAACCCTTGAGTTCCGGTAATGCAGCGAACTAGATGGCCAAGAACAAGAGGGAAACCTTCTCGACTCAGCAAAGGCAAGCGCTCACATTAAATCAAGGATGTCAAAAAATTGGTCAGTGTCTTCTCGGATCAGATTCCTGAACTGCACACTTGACAAGCACCAACACATGAATCTAAACATCGATCAACACATCTCACCCTATACATCCTTAAATTCCATCCCCTATTGCTTGTCACAAATTTAAATCCCAATGGCATTCTGAGCCAAACCTGGGATTGGCTTAAAAACCTACATCTCCCAAATACGCATGCACCCAGAGACTTCAGGGGCTTCCCAAGTTTTACAACTTATTTGTGCCACGGTCATTATTATGCACCGATCTTCCCAAATCACAGTTGCCTGCGTCTTGTAGATCTGGTACTTAAACTCCGACTTTGCTTTTGCCGGTCGGCAACAAAGAGCTAGTGAGCAAAGGCTTGATGTGACCTCAGCTGAATTTGCATGCGATCCTGCACCAGCGGCCAACTCACTTGATGTGCAGCCAAAGGACTGCAATGCTCAACCTCGGTGGTGCAGGTTGATCTCCAGACTGGGAAACGGATCAAAGTGGTAATCGTACCCGCTGACCGAATGCTCAATGATTTTGGTACAATCGCTTTTATGTATCCTGCCAGCAATGTCATGTGGCAGCATCTCAGACACCTTGCGGATTTCCATTCATTTCATCACTTTTCATCTGTGCATGCATAATTACCAACATAACTAAGTACATCTAAGTACACATCTGCATGTCTGCATATCTAAATGCCTGCACTGGAATAAATACTTACACATATTGTTAGACAATATAATATGTATATATATATGATCATATGTATACATCCGTTCAATCCCGTCCCACTCACGCCAAATACCCTCCAGATGGAAACCCGACATAAATATATAGATCAAAAGTAAACCAGTGCTTCTAGGTGGGCATTTGATGTAATATGGGTGGGAAATACATAGAACAGTGGGAAATGTGTCGTGCTGCAGGAGGGCCCCCTGACAGTTAGACTGCAACCGGTCCTAGCAGTTCTATTTTGTGTGGCAACATGGCTCCAAATGCCATGCTCAGATTCAAAATAAAACACTTTGCCTCATTCTTGGCTTGGCTGGGTCATTTGGTCGTCTCTTCACCCTGCAAAAACATTCAAGCCGAGCAGCACCAGCTCCCACACTTCGACTCGCCAGCGGGTGGACCTGCTATGGATTCAGGATTTCAATGGATTTCAAAACATCGCATGGAAATGGCCTATCCATTGAAAGGTGCACGCAGCAATTGCGATGCACCGATTCATGGGCTGCTTTCCTGTTGGATCTTCCTACAAACCATTCGTTGCCTGGCTCAAACCACTCAAGTTGAGCGAGACAACAAAAAAGCACTGAACAACGCATACCGAGAAACATGGAAACATATGGAAACTAAATGAAACTAGATCATCAGGTATAGGCGATGTATGTTGGATTTCCCTCTGTGAATCCTTTGACAACTTGTGCATACAGCTGTCCATGGTGAATCTGAGATACCTGCCAAAAAATCTAATTTTCAGCTGGTTGGTACATTTTACCATTGATAAATTAAAGTACTAAAATGTACTAAAGTATCTAAGTTGACCCAGTGTCTAAATACCGCAAGTGAAAAGGTCAGGGATCAATAAGAAGTAGGCCTTGCAAAGACCTCCTCCGCGTTCTCTGAAGTCACGAGATCCTGCATCACAATTGAATACTTATGACCGGCATTAGAGAAACTGCTCTGTGCAGAGTGTGCTGCTGAACCAAATTGCTCTCTCCGAGTATTTCAGTCTTTCTATGTTTTTCTTGTGAGACAGCCGTGGAAGTTCTCCTGGGAAGCATCTTGGCCCAAACATTGGGTGTGCTGCTTGGCAAGTTCAAGACCTGGTGCAAACATGTGCAAACTGTGTTCCAAAGTTCTTCCGCTGAAGAACTGGCACCAACTTAAGATGCACCGTAACCCTCAATTCAAAATTTTCCGTTACAACCATGCAGAGCCTGTGTCTGCATGTATACAATGGAGAGATTGTATAAAAAGGAATCTGACAACCATTGGCGGTCATTGATTCTACCCAAGCCGTCCAAGCTCTAGTTGTTCACGTGCTTTTCTCAATGTAGCCTGGACAAACAACTCAAACAAATCCGCATCTGCGTCGGGCCCAGGAATATGAGGGCCCTGAGGCCTATCTCGTCTCGCTCTTGGGAGATCAGCCACCAGAAGGAACCGAGCTGAACCTCCAGTGTTGCCATAAGCCCGTCGGATCCATCTGAAACAACACCTCAGTCCGCGGGCACCAGCCACTGAGAAACCACTGAGAAATCAAGTGATCCCAACTGAGTATGCAAAACAATTCCTGGAGGCCCAGAAGCAAGGGACGAAAGCCAGCTGGGAAGGGAGAAGCAGGAAGCTGCTGTGAAAGAGCGGCCGATGATGCTGATTGCGACGATATGGCGACGATGTCCCAGGGCTGATGGGGGGAGGGGGGTTGGGTGTAGTTAAGTGTAAGGCTTCATGTGATTGGCGATTTTAGCACCTGCCAATACCTTGCTAAAAGATGCTAAAAGGACTTCAAGCTAGCAAAAGCTAGCTTTCGTCATCAACAAACCAAAATGAATGTTAACCTAGTTTGATGCAAAAAAACAGCAGGCCCATTGTCGCCCAAATTTTGGCCCCTTGACATGCACATGTATTCGACAGCTTACCCAAGCTGAAGCCACATTTGAACATCTGTTCTGCAGGTGAAATGTGAAACTGTATGTTTTGCAGCAGGTCTTGTTTCACCCCCTGCGTCACTTCTTGCAGGATGGAACATAAAACATCGCAAGACATGATAAACCATATACAAGAGGTCCGTTACAATCCGGAGGCAGTGCAGTTGCGAGACTGGACCAGCCCATCGTCATCAAGCGAAAACATAGTATGTGCATGTACTGGGACCATGGCCAAAAAACTTTTCAATAGACGCCTTAGGTATCTATCAGAAACAGCTTCAAAAATCTTCAGACATTGTCAAACCGAAGCACGTCCAGATTTCAGGTTTCTAATGCTATAGCCTTCACCAAGTTCATTCCACTGCAAATGCCACCTGCAAGATCTGCCATGCATGGGGTAAAGACAATGTAGGAGTAGAGCATGGCAAATCCAGCTGCACGTAGGGGAAAGGTATGTAGCAATAGCCTACTATAGGCAAAGGACTAGGAACACAAAACACCGCAAGCATACGTAAGGTGCATTTAAGTGCCTTATCCTATCCTCTGCCTCCCCCTTCTTCGTGCAAACAGTATGCAGTCCCTATGTTCTCTCTTGAACTCACAGGCTCTTTGTCACGGCCTCTGATCTCGATACACTGGAGTGTCGGAGCCAATCACGAAGAAGCCTTTTTCGCGGTCTAGACCAACTTGTGCATAGACTCTGACCTCAATGCCAAAAAAAACTGACAAATGCCGCCAAACAGCAGTGACCATTGACCATGCATGCACGAATCTGGCCCCTCGACGTTTTGCAACACGACTAATCCGTTCATTCGCCCAAAAATAAAGACAGCCCGGAAGCGCTGGTGTAGTATCTTTAGGGAGGGGGGGTCAATTTGGAATCATTCTTGGGGGGGCATGGAATTAGCAGTCTCATCGTTTGCTTGAAAAGCTGCATGGTGCCAAATGCACGGCCTCTGCAGTTGTGCTTGGCTTCTGACTTCCAAGGCAGCATTCTGAATGAGGTGGGTGGCATTTTCATCAGGAATGATGCGCCACAAATGTGTCTTCGGAATGAAATCAGTGGTTGCGGTATAGAAGCCTTGCGTATCAGCCACCAGTTTGCGACCAGTTGCCGCATTCACAATTGTGTAAAGGCCTCACGCCAAAGTATCCAGCAACAGTGCGACTTTCTGAACACTTTCAAGAACTTGCACACCTTTAACAGGCACCATTGTATGCCATGGTATCATTTCATTTCACAGAACTGGAAAAGCTGATCTGTTTGGTTGATTGAGGGCAAAAGGTGTTTTATTTCATGGTTTTCTGATGTTTTCTGCGGATCTTGCAAAATGCATAGAACTGGTGAGGTTGGACGGCTTGGTCAGATCTTTCATGTCTGGTTTGCCCCCGGACATGTGTATTGTCTTCAGGCGCTTCCCAAACCCCATCTGGTTGCCAATCCGGAACTCGTTTCCATAGCTTTCTGATTTAACCATAGCTATGTGGTGAAAACTAACCTGACACAGAACATCATGTCACCTTTCTCCAAGCTTCCATTGAAAGTTCGATCGGCTTCCACATGGCGAAGTCCAATCAAAAAGGCAAGGAAGTCAATCCGGAGCATTGCCTCCACCTCTGCATGTTGGCAATTTTAGCCAACAGTTCCTAGCAGAGATGCTAAAATGCTGCGTTTCAGCTGGTGTTTTCCTCCAATGAAAACCAGCTCCAGGGAGAGCAGAATGCTGGGCCGGCCAATGGCAATTCACCCAAAGAGCCTTTTGATCTTGCTTTGGCTACATGTCTTTCCTCTTGGGGTCTTAGGGGACTCCCAAAACAGTTTGTCCGACCAAAGCCTGGCAACTTGACTTCGCAACAGGAACCATTTCACAACTCATCACAATTCTACATAGTCTCAACCTGCATTTTGACCACTGGGCCGTGGGATCGGCACCCAATTGTGCGATCGAAGATTATCAATGGACAGGCTGAACTTGTCTCAGGTTCCAACCCTCTGGCCCTTGGAAAGCTAGCCTTGGATTTCAAACACCACACCCCTGCTTGACACATCTTTTTGAGTGTGCTGTGCAACTTCTGCATCTCTACATACAATCCATACAATTTATACATCGTGGGACCAAGTCCAGTCTTCTGCCTCATAATCAGAGCCAACGACCTGAGCCAAGGACCTGTGTTGGCCGTAGCCTAAGCTGCCTCGAGCAAGGTCACCCTGCTGGAGCATCCGGTTATAAACCTGGCTGCCGGAAGCTCTGATTGGATTTAGATCAGGGAAAATTGTCAGCCAACCAGCCGGATGAAAGTGTATGGGACCTTTGAACCAACTCCAGTTATGTAATGCGGGGGCTAGGGAAATGTCCTTTTTCCCGGCAATGCAGCCGTTTTTGAACAAATGTTGCAAAGTGTGCCCTCATTTTTTTTTTGACAAGCAAGCATCTGATTGATGGCGGTGTTTTCAGTGTAGCTTTGTCTTGTGTTTATGTTTTTTGCCGGAATATCACGGGATGTGGTTCCAAAATGTTCCAAATGGGTATTCCTACTGTATACATCTGCACACAGTATACAGCCAATTTCTAGGGAAAAAAGGATGTGATGCTCTAGGGCTTGCAAAATTCTTATAATGTCAAACCATCGCGTTGGATATGAATCAAAATTGGATGCCTGCCCCAAAATTGGAAGCTTTACTTCCGCAAATCCCGAATCCATATGTGGGTCCCCAGGGCAATTTGACCCATCCCCGTTCGGTCAAAAAACGTTTCCACATTTTGCACCTTCTTGACTGAGGTCAATGCTGATGCTGCTCACTGCTTTGGTTGCAGCCCAGTTCCAACAGAGGCTCCCAAGTATGTGGCATTTTGCCACATGTGCGCTTCCGACGGCTGGAAAGTTAGAACTTCAAGATCAGAAAACTGAATCTGAAGATCCTGAACCCATGCGCATTGAACCTTGACTAGCTCTTCCAAACCACATGCTTTGCCTAAATGGAAATACATGTCAGGTGAGCAAATTCATAGAACAATGCAACAATGATGTCCTTTGCCAGTGCTGCTACAGAAAGTGTGCTACAGCACAAGAACAAATGGTGCTGTGGGCTCGGCGCTGAGTGGAATCTGTTCCTCAACTATCCTTACAGTTGTGCTTCGCACAGCTTGACACCTTTGTGCCTCAGAAAGCTGAAAACACAGAGTCCTCCTCCACAAGGAATGGCCTTGCAGGTCAGCAGAGCTGGATCTGCCAACCTATCAAGTTGCAGTCACTTGGGTCATTCTTTGTGGTACTGGAACAAAAATAAGACTAGATCACTAGCAGTAGCAGCTCACTTCGAGGCTGGTCGAGAATGAAGAGTACTTTTTTTCTGCGCTTTTCCGCGCCCGAAAAGTTGGGGTGTCAGGTTTTTTCTTCACTTGATTTCTTTTGGCCTTGAGTAGTCCGAGTTCGAGATCTGCCGAAATGAATCCAATCTTCTATGCAGGAGAGTTGGCACCGTCATCTCCCAGTGATGTCCCATTCCATTCCAAAACGGATCACGGACAAAGGTCACTCACGCAGTCATGGTCACAGCCGTCGTCATCATCGTGGTCATCATCGTCATCATCATGATCATCATCACCACCTGTATGATCCTGCTCCCATCACCATCAGCAGCACCCTCGGCCACCTTCCCAGTTAAATATGCTAAATATGGATGTGGGATCATGTGGAGCCTCCCAAGAGCTTCTTCAACCATACCTGGAGAGCGAGGCTTTGAAGAATTTTGAAGGCAGTATATCCGCCATGGTGCCGATGGTGAAGCCCACCAATTCCCAAAGTATTTAGGTGTTCACGTTCAGACTAAGTGCGCGCACACACGCACACACACACGCACGCACATGTGTATATACAACTATATATATATACATAATACATATGACATTACATTCATATGTATATATATATATGATCATATATGAATATATAATCATATATACCAGAAGTATCCATAAGGTGTC